AATATATGATAATATATAATAATAATATTGGTAACTATCTTATAAGAGTTATAAAACAATACAGTTTTACTTCTAGACAACTAATAGGAATTAAAAAGAGCTTGTATATACAAGAAATTTACAAGAATTAGATTTTTTCTATTACAAAGTGGCCCTTTCTTTTCTTATAGCCAATTGTTGCCCTCTCAAAATGGAATTCCTTAAGATAATATTAGTAAAGAAAGACAAGACAAAGGTAAAAAAAACTCACATTATTAACAAAAGGCAGGTGTATAAATCCTACCAATTTCTTCTTTCTAAAACACCTTATTAAAAGGTGTAGAGTATTATCATTACCTGACTCATGAATACCACCCCTAATAATAATAATAATAATGTTAGTAGTAAAAAAAAGTAAAAAATATAAGAACTTACACAATTTTAGCTGTTTAAATACAGTTATAACAATCTGGGAGTGCTTCCTTAAGCACTCCCAGGATTTTATCAGTACTAGCCTTACAGGACACACATTTTGTATCCTTTGTTTTGTATGTGTCCAGATTGGCCCAAAAAACAGAGGGAGGGTGGGTGTAGAGAGTACTGTGTAAGTGGACCAGGGAGCTGTTATGAACATGATACATGAAGACGTTTGGAAACACTTGGGAGTACTAAAGGAGTGAGTACAGACAAACCTTAGGCCAGCAAATGCAGGATCAATTACAATCAAAGGTGTTATTCTGAGACTCAAAGTGTTAGTAGGTGGAATATTAATAGTGATGCTAGTTCATGTAGTGAAGGACACAACATTCAACATGATAATCAGGAGGCTGTTCTTTGTGTTAACTGAGTGTAAGACAAAGGATTTCAAGGACAGTAATCAGATTTTGACCTTGACAGACCTAGCAGATCAGAACTGGAAGTGTTAGGTTGAGACCCAAGCAGCTGTTGGATGAAACCTACTACTCACTACTACTACCATCTATGTTAGAGTTGGAGAGGATTGGTCTAGCAAGCCTTTAGCCTTAGTACAGGTTACATTCTCTTTACTCTAACATTCCCTTATACCCCTTTCTTTTATGAACACTCATTCTTACTTGAGACTCACACTCTTTGTTTCTTTATCTTACTTTGATTGATACCTTTTATCCTTACCTATACTCCTTATACTTACCCTTCATTATTGCTTCTTAAAGCAAGTGACTGAGGACAGTCACTATTTAAAGCTTGGGGAGGTGAAGAGTTCTGATTTTAGTTACTATCAGATCTTCTTGATTTTATTAATTCTTTGGATTACATAATCACTTTCTTCATGTAGTTAGTTCTTTCCTATTTAGAATGAAAAGGGGAGGAGTTTTGACCAGAGCCCACAACAACACTAGAGGGAACAAGCCCACCAAAACCTTGCCTCTCAACACACACACTTACAACAACTTACACTCACAATTACCTTTAGTAAGTCTATTCCCTCACCTGTATTTGACCTGAGATCTCCAGACTTCTTATGTAAGCTCTCAGTCTCCAATTTGTTGTTCAGCTTTACTGTTACTAGCCTGACTAGTACACTTCCAGCCTTGTTGTTACTGACTAGAGTGCCTATCCAATACTCCCTTACTCAACACTGCTCTAATCTGACAGCTTCTAATGTCCTCCTACATAATCTGCTTGTGCTTAGTATTCTCACTAGGCTTGACTGATTCTTATTGTCTTACTACTTAATCCTTGTAGATACACTTCTGACCTTGTTCATCTGGCTTGCTACTACTCTTTACAACAGCCTCTACTACTCATCTATCACACTATTCTCCCTTGTCCTTACTAGTACACTTCCAGCCTTGTTTGCCACACTTACTCCTCTACTCTACTCTTGTTCTTGTTCTCTAGCTCAAATCTGACTCAATCTAACATAATCTACTACTTTCCCACACAATCCACTCATTCTTAGCTCTGCTACTAGGCTTGACTGTGCTTTGTTGTCCTTACATGTAATGCTTGTACCTGTGTACTAATCTTCTCTACTGTCAGTCCTTGCTTCCTCACTTGTCTCTTCCTCCTCTACCTTTACAGGTCCACTTCTGGCCTTGTTCAGCATTTTGTCATACATCTGAGTCGTCCTTATAAGCTTAGCTGCATACTAGCACTTGAGCTCCAGAGCTATTACAAACAACTTGTGGTGTGTCAATGTAACAACACTGTCTATCATCCAGTCTAAGACCTGCTTGATGATCTCACTTGACTCAGTACTTTGCTTTGGTCTAACTTTGACTAACTTTGTGTTAGCCTTTGTAGTCCTTGCCTCCTCTCTTTGTCTCTTCACATCCCTCAAGCATTCCTCCAACCTTGTCACCTCTGCATCCAAATCTGCTCTAAGAACAGTTTTATACTTTTCTCCCTCACTTGCATTTGACCTATCTTTTACTTTATTGATTGTGCCTACTGTGAACACAGGCTTGTCTTTATAGTATTAGTCTATACACTCCTTCAACATTACTCCCTCTATACTGGCTGGCACAAATGCCCTACTCATTAACACAATCTTCTGCCCCAACCTTATACACTTCCCCCTCTGAGTGTACTTGCTCACAGTCCTACAGTCATGTACAAAATGTCCTTGCTTTCTACAAAAGTTACAGGTCCTCTTATACTTCAGGTCAGATTTTACAGAATTGGCAGATTGGTCAGTTTTGCATACTTGATTCATTAGTATCTTCCTAGACTTGCTTACTTTGTTGACCTAGGCTTGTAACTCTTTAAGCTTCCTCACAATCTTTGTATACTTGTCTCCTACTTCTTTCTCTAGCTTCTCCTTTAGTAACATTACTGTCTAGTCTTAGCCTACCTCTGTCTGCCCTACTAGAAGAACATAGTCTGCTAGCCTGACTATATTAGCAAATTTGAACAGCTCACTTACATTCTTGTCCACATAGAGAATCTCCAGTTGTTGTGTCAGGTTTGTCCTCAGCATCCCTCTGATCCCTCTCTAGAACTCACAGTCTAACTCACATACTGACATCTTCCCTTACTCCTTCAAGTACTTTGCTTACACCTAGAACTTGTAGTAGTAGTGGCCAAACTCTGTCTGTACCATCATTTCCTTCTTACTCTACACATTGACTAGTTGTGTAATATTGGCTCTTGTATAGTGTTGACTATTAATCAGCTCCAGATAGAGCTTTCTAATCTCCTCTTTCATAATACTCTAATTGTACACTCCTTTCTTCTTCAACTTGGGTACAGTAGCCTACAAACTACTACAGCTTGTTACTGTGTAGTACATCACTTGCTTGTACATCCACTTAGCATCCTTCTGGAAGTTAGTAGCTAACATCTTAATGTCTTCAAAGAACTGTAGAAGTTCCTCAAGCTTGCTACTGTTAAAGTACAGTACTTCTCTTGATCCTCTTCTTAGCAGTTATGTTATCATACTTCTTGTACATTAAAACAGTCAGTTTGATTCAAAACAAGTATAGTAAGGCCCTCAAGGCCAAGATTAAGACAAAAACAACCCAGACACTTTAGAACAGAGGCACCACCCCTTACAGTAGGCTCCAAAATGAGAGGTAAGGTTTTGGTAGACTTGTTCCCTCTAGTGTCATTGTAGGCTCTGGTCAAAACTCCTCCCCTTTTCATTCCAAATAGGAAAGAACTAACTACATGAAGAAAGTGATTATGTAATCCAAAGAATTAATAAAATCAAGAAGATCTGATAGTAACTAAAATCAGAACTCTTCAGTGTACAACTGTAAAGTAAAAGGAATACAAGCATGTTATCAAAGTCAATGTTGAGCAAATTATTGACAGGGGATTAAGAGTTGTTACTGCTTGTTGTAGAGCCAAGTCTGAGTAAAAGTGTGTCTGGAGAGTGCTGTGTAAGACTGTAAATGGTACTCAGCAAGTTTATCAAAGTCAATGTTGAGCAAATTATTGACAGGAGATTAAGAGTTGTTACTGCTTGTTACAGAGCACAGTTCAGGTGAAAGTGTGTCTAGAGAGTACTGTAAGAGACAATGAAGTAAGAAACTTGGGTGGAGTGGACAGCCAGAAGACCTTGATGAAGCAGTTGAGTTACACAGTATTACTCTCAAACTTCAAAGTAGTACTTACCTGATTGTTCCTTGTCTCTAAACAACCTTACAAGCTCTGTACAAACTCAATTCAAGTAGTGTGGACATTCAGAAGACCTTGATGAAGCCAGGGAAATTTGAGATTGTAAGCAGGGATAACAGTAGGAAATTGAGAATGCAAGTGAGTAAGAAAGCAGCAGAGATATAATGAGTAAAAGCATATTGTCAAGAAGTAATTATACTTGTAGGCTAGGGAAATAGACATTAAACACAGTATAGAACAGAGTAGACATTAATTACACAGTAAACAGAGTAAACACTTACAAAAAGTTGAAGTACTTTGTTAATGTACATTGTCTTGAGTTGCAACTTGTCTGTAGTAGCAAGTACTTGTAGAGTAGGGTCTATCACATATAAATCAAGAGTGTGTAGTTCAATTGTATGCTAGCAATGTGAAATTGATTGAGAGGACTTTGCCTGTAAGCATTTTTATTCTAATTAGATACACTGAGCAAGTTGTGTCATGAAGATGATTAACAGATTGTCAATTAGTATATGTAACCACAAAATTTCCATAAACATGTAACCTATGTCTATTGTTTTCACTACTATAGGTCTGTATAGCTGTCCAAATCCTCTCCTTCCTTGTCCTCTGAGTCTTCCTCTGTTTCCTCCTCTGTATCCACTCCAGATTCTTTGCTACCTTCCTCATTTCTTGGATCCTCATTTTTGCCTTTGTTTTTGTTTTTGTCTTCATTCATCTCATACAAAATATTATACATAAGATGATTGTTTAAGTGCTATACTGTTTTATGACTGATTCCACCCTTACAAAACTACATAAATGTATCCCTATTAGCAAATCTATGTATTTATTTAGTTATAAGACAATATAATGTATAATATGAGTGAAAATATATTAAAATATCTTATTCTAACTCACATATTGACATAGTATCTCTAATAATCCAAATCTTTTTCTGGCAGATGATGAACAACAGAGTGTAGCAGATAGTCAGTAGTACAGCCTTTTGAGAAATTCAGAATTAAGTGTACTCCCCAAATAATAAGGTTAGAATCAAGAAACCTGAATGTACCAGGTTCAGAGTAATGTAAAAAACGAATCTGTTGGAGCTGTTTCTCTTGAAAGTTATAAGAGCAACTTGCCTCAGTCTTGAACCACTGTACCTAGACAAAATCAATTCTTTTATAATGTAAGGAGCTCAATCTAGGCCTAAAGTAGGCAACATTAACATGGAAGATACTAACTATTTGTACAAATATGAACAGATAGTTGAAATACTGGTCATCCAAGTAGACCATAATATCTGCATACAAACAAGGGTTCAGGGAGTCCTGCACTCTTCTAACATTGTAGGTTGTGTAATTTACATGTATGACCCTATGTTTGTAAAGTCTATTGTTTTGGATGTGTAGACTATTAATTTCATCCAGTATGAAGGTATTGTCTTTGTTCCTAGAAAGAATCCAGGACAATAAATGAGTGAATAAATTGCTCAAGAAATCCTAGTAAGAATAAAATGGACATGGAGCATAGTTATACACAAATTAGCCAGGGATAACTTACCTTGAGAGCTGGATTAGTAGGATTGGCATCTATCTATGACTACAGGTGTTTCTATTCCTTTTTTGAGGCTGTCATACTATAATGAGCCTTAAGGATGATTACTTGTAATGGTTTGCAATCTGTGCTATTGGTTTTGAGACTCTAAACTTGGTTTTGAATCTCTCAGAGTTTGCATGTTTGTTCCTCAAGTTTTGAAACATTCTGTACTGCATTTTTCTTGTTTGTCCTAGAATACATACTTTTAAGCCATTTATGCTAAGATTCTCCCTGAAAATCGAGATAATTAAGGAGAACAGACAGAGGGAATCAAAGAAGTCATTGAACTACTGGTCAAACATTCAGAACTTACCATTTGAGTACTATAAGAGTCTGTTGTGCTAAAACAATGAATAGTATTAACATAGCCCTCTAGTGTATAGAATTTGAGTGTGTTAATGTTGAATTTCTTTTCTTTTGACTTGAGGTTTGTATCACACTCCTGTGTCTTGCCTTTCTTTACTGTGGCAGCATTGTAACGTCCTCAAGCTGCAATCTCATTTGGGAGTTTGTGTGTTTCATATCCATTACATACAGTATATGACAAAAGTATTACACAGGTGAAAAAAAATATATAACTTCCCCAAAACACAATAATATTACACTCTGTAAATTGGTACTTGTAGTCTAGCATTTTATGAATACAACACTCTATAGAGTATTAAATTCCTTTCAAAAATGAGTGAAAGCAGAGAAGAATACAAAAAAGGTCATTTTCAACTGTTTTATAAAGTACATACACAGTCAACTAAAAATCACTAAAATTAAGTTCTAGATAAGTATATCTCACCTATAC